TCCTGATAGCTCACAACTTCATTTGACAGTCTGGGAAATGTTCTGCTCAATTGGCTGGAAATGCCCTCAGAAGTCCTTAGGCCTATTGAATCCTGGGCTGTGTTCTAGAGAAGTATACACAAACAGATATGAAAGATGATTATTGTTCAGAGTTGTCATAGTACAGTGACTGACCCTCCGGATAAAGGCAATGGAAGCCAGGCAATATTTCATAGATCTCCTATGGAGAGCCAAGAATTCCACCAGAGAACGTTCAAAGACTTACGAGAGTTTTCTTGCTTAATTGCATACCTCAAAATAAGGTATTATTGGAGACAGACTGAGGACATCAGATCAAAAGTGCTAGCATATCTCTAAGAAAAATATCTCTGAGTGAGGCGCCATCCATTCACAATGGTGGGAGAACTGGACCTAGCATCAGATCACTTGGAATCTCAGTTCTGCTACTTTTAGAAGAGTATTTTGGATGAGACATTGTTTCCACTATTATATAACTGCTTTGTCCTACCAAAGTGAAGGATGGAGGCGCCTGGATGGCTCAGTTGGTTGGGTGTCCGACTCTTGGTTTTGACTCGGGTCGTGATCTCAGGGTTGTGGGATCGGCCCTGGGTCAGGCTCCAGCTCTGTGGGGAGTCTGCTTCTCTTCCTTTCCCTCTCCCTCTACCCCTCTCCCTACATGAGTGTTTTCTTTCTCACACACTCTCTCTCTCAAGTGGATGGATAGATCTTTAAAAAAAAAAAAAAAGTGAAGGATATAAAGTGCAAAAGTACCAGAATCCCTTTCTAGCACCTAAATTAATTAGGATTCATTAGCTTGTTGGCAGTAAAGGCCCTGAAAAAATAGGAGAGAGAGAGACAAAACTCCAAAGAAAGAACATGGTTCCAAAAAGGTCTAGAGAATAATAGCATGGAAGTGGCAATTGTACCCGGGGCACCCAGGGTGTGGTATCCGGTTGACCATGGAGTAGCAGGAGGTAAATGGCATAGTCAAAATCATGGCAGAGTGCTCAAAGAGAAATGAAAGCGGTCTCTCAGGAAGATTCCATCTACTATTAAATTTTGTCTACTACACTTTGCCCTGCTTAGCATACTTACTCAGGCAGTAGGAGGAATTCTAGTGGCAGATATGGAAAAGTATGCTATTGGTGGGAGTGGGAATGAACAACAGGTATATTTATAGCTAGCTGATACTATGCTGAAGGTATCTATATCACAGCCCTGTGGAGGAACGAGATCCCAGACTTGCTGCCAAGTTTCATCATGGAACATATGGACCTTATGATTTCAGGTTCAGTGATCTTGGTCCAGCTGCAAGAATAACTTATGCATGAATTAACAACAGAAACAAAGCTGTCAGCTGAGGACCAGGTGGATGGCAACCTCTCTGCCCCTTGATAAATGTCTGGTGTTTATAGGGCTGGTCTGGTTAATTTGGGCAGATCTGTCTCTGGGCTCCTAAACCCCCAATTCCAGAGGCTTAAGGCACCTGTTCCCTTCATCTTGCTCTGGGTCTGTTTCTGATGACCGGTTCTAAGTACAGTCTAAGACTGGTCAGAGCCTTAATGCTGTGGTGGGAGTATGGGCAAGATATCTGTGTTACTATGTTGTCATAGCATAGAATGGAAGAACAGAGATGAGCTTTTTAATTTACCAAGTCCAGGAGAAGGGTCAGGTCCGGAGAGGGGTTGTGATTTACCCAAGATCACCTGAAAGAGTGTCTGGCGGAAGTGGGAACTTTCCAAAAAGGAATTAAAAATGAGCAGGGTGGGCATGTTTATTACCTTTCACCATCAGGTGGAGTTTGTGCACTAAACTGTTACTATTAAAAAGGGAATAAATTTCTTCCACATGTTTCAAGGTTTAACTCACTGAGCAAAGACCATATTGCCAATATGCAATTTTACAGAAGTTATGGCAGAAAGGCACTTATTTTATTAGTTTAATGCAATTGCACTAGATTTCAGGGAAATACCATTTTATTTTGGAGGGACACGGATGGCTGTTTATGCACAGCAAATTCTTGGGCCCTGAAATACTGCTTTCTACTTCCCGGCTGTCTTTCTGGGCTGCCTGTGACTCACAGTATAAGAATCCTTGCATTATTCTGAAAGTAGCGGGCTAGTGGCTGTAGTTTTTCTTTTGTCCTTCCATTTCTCTCGTAGGGTGTTACATTTCCATGTTGGAAGCGTTCTTTTCCATTAGGGTTTCCCATTCCATGCAGCCCTTGGAGGTGTAGACCCAGGGCGTGTTTGTTTGTCCCGGAACAGGGTAGCTGTTCCTGTGATGTCTGAGAGGGAACTCCAGCCTTACTCCCAATCCTCAGCTAGGATGGGGCCATGAGGGAAAATGAACTAGGGCTAGCCTGCACCCTGTCTGTGGCTTTTATTAGCTAACCTTTGGCTTTTTTTTTTTTTTTCCTTTGATAAAGTCCATTGGGGTTCATCTTTACTTTTTGGTTTTTCTTTTCTCACTAAGGATCCATTTTGAGACGCTGTCCTTTTAACCAAGAAGATACAGCTCTCTGGCAAATCAGACTTCCCATTGTTGACAAAAGGGGCCAGACCCTTACTTTCTCCCTTCCTCATGTGTCTTCCTCTCCTAGGCCAGCCACCTTCACACGGAGAACTTGATTGGTTCCCAGGAGACATTCTTTCTCTGGGCGAGTCGAGTGTTCTTGCCCATGCTGAGCGACCATGGTGCCCCGAGTGTGGTCACCGATGAGGTTCCTCATCAAGGGCAGTGTGGCTGGGGGGTGCCACCTATCTGGTGTATGACCAGGAGTTGCCGGGACCAAGTGACAAGAGCCAGGCTGTCCTTCAGAAGGCTGAGGAGGTAGTCCCTCCAGCCACATACCACCAGTTCAGCCAGTCTGAAGATACCCCAGCTCCCAGTCCCTCCAAAGTTTAACTCACATCCGCGACACCTGGAATTCAGGCATCATTACGGTGATGTCCGCTCCGTCGGTGGCCCCCTCCAAGGCCCTTGAGTACTCCAAGGAGGGCTGGGAATACCTGAAGGAGCAAACTGAGTAGCCTGTCAGAGGAGGCCACCTGTCCCAGTCAGAAACAGCTAGGGGTCTCTAGCTGTTTGGGAGACTCTAGCATAGACCTGGAGACTCCAGACTGGGACTGGGACTCCACTCCAAGGGCAGCTCCCGGCCTTGCCGACCCAATAAAGGACTTGGGAGGTGCAAAAAAAAAAAAAAAAAAAAAAGAAAAGAAAAGAAAAAAAGAAATACTGAGGGTCTGCCTTAAGTAGCTGACAAACTTTCCAGTTTACCTGGGGCTGTCCAGGTTTTAGAACTTAAAGTCCTGTGATACAAGAAACCTTCAGTTTTGGGAAAACTCAGAGAGCTGGTCACCCTAAGCCTAAGTGGAGCACTGTCTAGGAGCTTGGTATATAACTGGCCATCAGCCTCTCAGGTACTCAGCAAAGCTGAGAGGTTTCTGATTCTTACAGAGGAAAGCATGACATGGTGGAAAAGCATTTACCTAGAACTGAGGACCTTGGGCCCTGGTCCCAGTTTGACTGCAAAAGAGGCAGAGCTCAAGGGCAGATCACTGAACTTCAATTTCCTTCCTCCAGAAGAGTAGAAACATTGCATTTGGTGTTTGACTTTTTGCAACCCAGATTCTACAATTTGATTTCTAAAGGAGTGTGATGAACCAATTCACACTAATTCATATTCCTAGATACAAGGCAATAGGTAATAAGGTTTTGTTGACACTTGCTGATGATGCTAACATTTACAAAGTCCTTATTCTGTGCCAGACACATCCATTATTTTACTTCATCCTCGCAACTTTTTAAAAAAGATTTTATTTGTTTATTTTAGAGAGAGAGCAGGGCAAGGGGCAGAGGGAGAGGGAGAGAGAGAATCTCAAACAGACTCTATGCTGAGCATGGAAGCCGACATGGGGCTCAACGTGGGGCTCGATCTCATGACCCAGAGATCATGACCCTGAGATCATGACCTGAGCCTAAACCAAGAGTCAGAGGCTCAACTGCCTGAGCCACCCAGGCGCCCCAAGGTAGATGCTTTCTTTATTTTCATTCACAGATGAGGGGCTCCGGGCCAAGAGAGGGTAAGTAACATGCCCTAAATCACACAGAAAGCTGTGGATCAAAGATCAGAACCTGGGAGGTCTGGTTCCCAAGCCCAAACTTGACCTGTTGCTCTCACTGGCTAGGGTTGAGTCAACAGTTGAAATGGACAGGCTAATTGTTTCCTCTCAAAGGACTGGCAAAAGGAAACAGTGGCTATTTGGAATGAGATCTTCCCATTCTGGGCTGCTAAAGGTTATCGTCCCCAAAAACAGAGCCTGGTATTTGAGAAATTAGTGTCCCTAGCTCATAGCCAGGCCCCTCCCTGCTCTTTAAGACTAGACAAAGGGTGGTAAAACCAATTGAGAATTAGAGCAGCCCCCACACCCGCTCCTTTCCTATTTTTGGAGGCTTTAGGAGAGTTCTACTCCCTCCAGGCTCGGTGGAGCACTTTGAGCGCTGTTAGCAAGGCTCAGAGGGGCACTGTCAACTGCTCCCACTGTCTCTTACTGTTGGTCTGGAAAATGATTCCATTTAGATCAGGCTTGCCTAAAACTGTGTGTGGCACGCTTCTTCCGTTTCTTTAGGAAGGATGATTTGAAATACAGACAAAGTTAAGTCTGTGGGGTCACATTCACAGCAGCCGGCAGAGTTACACTTAATTAAACTACTGTGATTGCTTCATTCATACATTTCACTTGCCCCATTCCCTTCCTCTCTGACTCCTGACGGAGGCAGTACTTTTCCTTGGTGGGGTGGGGTGGGGATGAAATGCTGTGAGTCTTAAGACCAACCCTAATTGACAACACTTATTTTACTGTGATTGTCTACGTGCAAGTATGCAGAAGTAAATTTATATTCTGAGAATGTGACTGCTTTGGACTGAAAAAAAAAATGCCATTAAAGGGCATTAACGGTTCCTCGGAACTCACCATCCTTTGTTCTAAATTCCCCAGCGAGTCTCGAAGCACCAGGGCTGAGGGCAGGAAAGGAAAACAAGGGCTGAAAGCTCTGGCCAATTGAGATGCCAGCCACCAGCACGATCACCCGAAAACCTGGCTCTGGCCCACTTTCTCTCCTGCTGCAAACCATGGGACAGGTCTTCTGCCTGCTGGGTCAAGGTGAACTCCTTAGTCAGGCACAGACATTCCACAATCTGGCTCCATCTCTCTCCAGCCCATCCCCCTGCACTTACCACTGCATGCCCAGGCTCCAGTCCTAGTTGCCCCCATCCTTCTTTCCACACTGCTAGGCTTTTTTTCATAAATGATTCCCTTTTCCTTTAATGACTTCCAGACCTACCACACCCCTGCTCCTGGTGAATTCCTCTCATGCTTTTAGCTGAAGACCAAGGCTCACCTCTTCTGCAAAGCCTGTCTGGACTACCTGCCCCCCCCCGCTCCCCCCCCCCGATACAGTAAGTCTCTCCCTTTCTTGTGCACCCATATTATTTTGTACATTTTGATCTGAGCATTTATTAAATGCAATCTTTATTGGCATGGCTGTCTCCTCCATTAGACCGTGTCTTATTTATCCGTGTTATCCCCTTCCAATTGCAGAGTCTGGCATAACATTGCACGTAGGAAGTACTTAATAGATGCTTATTGAATGAGTATGTTATGGCTGTTATGATTCTGTCTGTTCATATTTATTGTGTGTTTACTATGGGCAAAGCGTCATGTAGGTGCTGTACATGCGTGTGTTTTGAGAGAGAGGGAGAGATAAAATCTGAATGATATGGGTCACGGTCCTTCAAGAGACGTAATATCCTCTGTGAGACAAGGAGTTAAAAAGCAAAGTAGAAGAAGCCCTGCAGACAGGTGCATGGTTCTGACATCGTAGAAGAATAGCCGTTGGATTGGGGTTGGGGTGGGAAGGAGGCACCACAGACCAAGTGGTGTATGAAAGGACATTGACAGAGAAATAGTAGAGGAATGGGGGCACCCAGGCTGAGGGAAGAGTATGAGCAAAGGCATGAAGAGAAGTTCATAGTGATTTCCCGGGAACAAAGGGCCTGAGAGTTCGGCTCTCCACCATAACTATGGGGACTGCACGTTTTTAAAAAATCTGAAATAAATCCCATTAATATCAATAAATGTATTTTCCCTAATTGCCTAGATTTGCATTCTTTAAGCAGGAGTGGTGATTAATCATTTCCAAATTGCTCAAGGATATGAAGCAGGGTGCTCAAAAGTCTTTAGCAGCAGGAAATGCTTGTTGCAAATAAACTGTTTACAATTTACTTTGTGAGCCTCATTTCTGTTGGGACCGTGCAGCAGGTAATGGTCATAGCCATTTCCTGTTGAAAAGTTTTAATGGGCTTGGCTACAGTTCTAGAGACTTTCAACATAGAGTCAGAAAACACAAAGTTGGTTAATACTTTACAGTGCTATTTTAAAATAAAAAGAAACAAACTGAAAATTTGTTTGTCCCTTAGCATTCCTTTACGGAAAGAGACATTTTAAAATTAGATGCAAATACTATAAACCTACCAGAAACTGTGCTTGGTCAGTTTCTCGTTTTAGGATGGAAAGCTTTTCATTTGATAATTGAATGTAGTATGTGGCAGCAATGACCAGTTCACAGATAGATGCCTAGAGTTTATATTGAAAAGTTTTAATTTGATTCAGGGACCCACTATTATCAACAATATGCATGAAGTCCCTGGTAGATGTGCTTCTTGCATTCTAGATGTTACTGTGTTAGACTCTGTTGGGTTCATGCATTCGAGGACTCGCAGATGGCAGAATAAAGATGACCAGCCAACAATGATCTCTTACATTTCATCTTCACCCTTTAGAAGTCAACATACCTTCACATTCATGTTTTCAATTTTCCATAACCTGGTGAAGTGAATAGAACATGAAAAACGATCCTCACTTTATAGATGCGGAAGCCAAGAGGCAGAAATGATAGATAAAACTCTCCCACACACAACTGGTTATTGCCATGGAAAGAGCCAGAACTCTGGCCTTCTGACTTCTTGTACATTGCTACACTATGGTGCTCGTGAATAAACCGACCTCACGTAGAGTGTTGTAGAGATGGGGAGCAAGGGTAAATAACTGATTGCCATGGCGATCAATATAAAAAAGGATGACAGGGCACCTGGGTGGCTCAGTTGGTTAAGCGACTGCCTTCGGCTCAGGTCATGATCCTGGAGTCCCGGGATCGAGTCCCGCATTGGGCTCCCTGCTCGGCAGGGAGCCTGCTTCTCCCTCTGACCCTCCTCCCTCTCATGCTCTCTGTCTCTCATTCTCTCTGTCTCAAATAAATAAAATCTTTAAAAAAAATAAAAATAAAAAAGGATGACAATTCCATGGCCGATAACAATGACCTGGAGGAAGCCTATAGCTCACCCTTAAGGATTGAGGCCCACTATGATTGATACACCTGATGCTCATGTAGTAGACATATTCTCACTAAAATATGGATTTAAAAATGTCGAAGTCTTTCATAGGAAGCTAAACAGCATCACATACCCAAAGTGGTAGATAATAACAGCAATAATCATATTGAACATCTGTCGAGTGCTTAATCTATGGCAGGGACTGTGGTAAGAGCTTTATACCCACCGTGTCCTTTGTAATAGGGCCTGTGAGGAAGGTGCTATTACCGTTCTTGTGTTACAGATGAGGGAATCGAAGCTGACGTCGTTTGTCAAGGTTTCACGACTCATAAACCACAGGGCTGAGAACTGAACCCGAGCAGCCTGCCCCCAAAGCCCACATGTTTCTGTGACATTATTCCAACTCTTCCATATCAGCTATAATGTCTGTGGGGTGAGGGAATGAAAACAATGCAGGAGCGGGGGTTGAATCTGACCCTGAGGATTGAGTTCAAGGGTCAGATAACATCTGAGAAGGCAGAGGGCATGGGGAAGCCCTCAGTCACAGGAACCCAGAACCAACCAAGGTTCTCTCACTTGGCTTCTCACCCCAACACCGTGTCTCAGTCAACCAATCGCTTACCAGGCAAGTAAAGAGCATCAAAGTGTCAAGGACCAAAGGGGTGTGAATATTTTCCCACCTCTGTTCCCCCTTTGTTCTTCAGAAGTTTATTTCTGCTTTTTTGGTTCTGTTTTCTGGGGTAATTTTCTAGATCTTGATTTGATTGCCAGTAGAATTAGGTTTCCATCCTCTTGAATCTTTAGCATGTTTCTTTTTTTTTTTTTTTTTTTAACTCTTAAATACTCCTGTTGAGGAGGCAAGGAACATATTCCTTAAACGTGAGTGTGATGGACTGAATGTTTGTGTCTCTCCAAAATGTTTATGTTGAAAACCTAATCCCAGTGTGATGGTATCTTAAGGTAGAGCCTTTGGGAGGTGACCAGGTCATGAGGATGGAGACCTCAGGAATGGGATTAGTGGCCTTTTAAGAAGAGCCCAGAGAGCTAGCTAGCTTTCTTCTCTGCCGTGTGATGAGGCAATAAGAAGTGAGCCATCTGAGACCTGGAAGAGCACCCGTCCCAGGACCTCGTCATGCTGGCACCCTGATCTCAGACTTCCAGCCTCCAGAGCTGTGAACAATCAATTTCTGTTGTTGATAAGCCATGCAGTCTACAGTATTTTGTTACAGTTGCCCAAACTGACTAGGCAGTAGGGTTTGTAGAACCTTTCCTCTCAGAGGAGAACACGTTCTGTTCACCTCCTCATCTTGCCTCTGTTCCCAAAGCTTAGGTGAGCAGCAAAGCCGAGCTGTCCTCCTGAGAATCCATCATTTACTCTCTAGGGACTTGACCTGTTCCTAGTGAATCTCAAAAGAAATGCCATGCAGCAGCCCTTTGAAATGAAATGCTTTTCTATTGAACCAGAAAATAATCACATCCTCCCATTTACTCTTTAGGGTACAAATTGATCTGACTTGATTTGTCAGAGAGCCAGAACTGCAGGCAAATAGACACCAGAGAAATCAACCAATCTTTTAAGCCAGCCAGTAATTGTTCCTCCTGTCGGCTGGCTAAATGACTTGTATCTGGAGGAGATGCTCAGAATGAACCCGAATGCCTGAGGTGACGGAAACAGAGAGCATTCCAAAGTGGGCTCTAACAGAGTAAGTGTTTCTTCGTGTCTTACAAGGGCTTGGCTTTGTGTTTCCAACCTCTCTCCCTCTTATCCTGTCTCCTGGGGCTAATGTCATTGGGCAGCAACCAAAGGCGATGCATGTATATAAGAGCAAGGAAAAATAGTTGATATGAGGATGAGAAGAGATGAGGAGTAGGGTTTAATCTGAGGATACCTTTTCTTGTACCTTGATCATTAGCAAACCCAGGAAGTTCCTTTAGTATCAGAGCAGAGGGGATGAAATCCCCTTGCTGGTAAGCTGTCTGTTATCTTTAAATAAAAAAAAAAAAAAAAAAAGGAAAGAGTTTAAATAGACAAGGAAACTGTGAAAAAGACTGTAACTGATATTCATGTACTAACTACTGAGATTTGCTGTTTTGCCATATTAACTTTGGTTCCCGACCTTCTCTCCTTCCTTCTTCCCTACCTCTCTCCTTTCCTTCTTTGGAAATAAAATGTAGCAGCATTGCCAAATCTCCATATTTCCACTCCACTGTGTTATTCCTTTCTCTTTCTTTCCAGAGAGAACTGTTACCACAACACTAGAATTTATCTTTCTTGTTCATTAAAATTACTTTCACTATGTAGAATATATACAGAAAGAATATGTAGTGCTCTTTGGGGATGAGCTTTTAATGTTAACTCTTGTGGTTTTCCTGTAAGTATCCTTTAGAAATTTTTTTTACATTTGACATCATATTGCAATTTGTCCATGCTGATACCAGTAGGTCTAGTTCAATTATTTTACAGTGGCATTGTATTGCTTTCCAAATTTTTTTTATTCTCCTCTATTGATAAACATACTTTTCCCTACTACAGACAATGCTATGATACATATTCCTGTTAAGGTGTCCTCAGACCCAGGTATGAGATTTTTCTCTCTAGAGTATATATAACCTAAGAGTGGAATTGTGGGGTAACAAGGTAAGCTTTTCTTCAATATCATTAGCTATTACCATACTGTTGAATTGGGCACTTAACAGTTTGTATGGGGATGCCTGCATGGCTCAGTTGGTTAAGTGTCTGCCTTCGGCTCAGGTCATGATCCCAGGGTCCTGGGATCGAGTCCCGCATTGGGTTCCTTGCTCAGCGGGGAGCCTGCTTCTCCCTCTGCCTGCCATTCCCCCTGCTTGTGCGCTCTCTCTCTCTGACAAACAAATAAATAAAAAATCTTAAAAAAAACCCCAGTTTGTATGGCATTCTCCTATTGGTTAGACCAAAAAGGAATAAACTGTAGGAAATCAATATAACAAGACGTAACAAAAACTAGTTGAATGGGCCAATTGGTTTGTTCTCTGTAACCTGGTCCATGATATATATGGTCGTATTTCCCTTCTTGAAATAAGAATATAATGCAATCTGCATCCTACTCGAGGTAAAATAGTGCTTGGATTAGCATATATATATATATATACACACATATTCTCTCTGTATCTATATATGATATCTCTATATGTTCTACCATAAATAGACAATAGACAGGTGGCTGGATAAGAAGTCCTAAGTTACCCCTCTGAGCTCCAAACTTTCATTCCATAACTTTATTTTCAAACTTAGTTGAAATATATACCCAGCTTGGGAAATTAGCTTCATTTTTCACATAACCTAAAACACCTGTAGAAAACCAGCTCTTGAAAAAGGAAGGGTGTACAAAGCACTTGGGTGAGATCAGAACATCTGGGGCAGGTCGTGGGAATCTCTGACAATCAGGAAGGGAAACTGAAAAAGATCTTAATTTCATTGTGTAACCAGCCTGGGAGTCCATGTTCGGACACATTCCCATTGGTGCTACAGATGAGCCTCATCTGCTCATGCTGGACCTCCTCTCCCTCTCCCCAGAAGCTCCCCTTGTTATCTCAAGGAGGTCCCCCAAGAGTTGGCATATCTTGGCCGCTCATTTTGTGCATCACCTCCTTTATCAGGGGCCTTATCCTTGTGTTGGATGGTTGGGCTATCAGTGAGAATGGGACCCTAGTGTGTACATCTATGGATGTCTTCCCTTCTGAGGAAGCCAAAGCTGCTTTGTCTGCATGCTGGAGTTGGGGCAGGGTGAGAAAGGGAGGACAGACCCTGTCCCTAGCTCTGTCTCCTGGGCTCTAAGGCACTGTGTGTGTGCCTAGATTTCCTCAAGTTCTTCCTTCAGCTTCTGGCCCCATTCCCTTTTTTTTTTTTTTTTTGAGATTCAAAATTAGTCCTTTGTGATGGGTTTGAAGTCAGGGTGCTGAGAACACTACCCCATCCTTGCCATTGTCACGTTGCTTTCCCCTCGCTTCTCTGAGGCACCCCATGGCAGCACTCTAAATCTCAAAGCCTGCAAGCATAGCACTTCATGGCAGTGCGGAGATGGGACTGTCTAGTATATTCGAACATATCTAATCTTTGCTGCGGTTCAAGCAAGACACCCTTTTCAATATTAGCATCACTAAAGATCTGAAGAGGCCTTTGGTGGGGGGACATTCATTGTTTCTCTCACATGGTAGATCGGCAACAAAAGCATGTGCAGAAACCAGACTTGTGAATGGAAAACAGAGCTGTAGATACACAGCAGAACAAGCTTGACTAGCGCTTAATCAACTCCCTCCCGTCCTCCCCTCCCCGCCCAACATTACTTAAAATACAGAATCACATTTGAAGAGTCTTTAGATGATCTATTTTGGCATCCCACTTATTTCAGTTACCTACTATTGTATAACAAATCATCTCAAAACCTAGTGACTTAGATTTGATCATACTCAACAACTATTCACTATTAAAAAGATCCTGCTAATTAAAAATAAAAATGAAGTTTTTTAATCTAATAGGAGCTACGTACAAAAAGAATGTAGTGACTTAAAACAAGAGTGATTTATTATTTCCCACACTTCCCGGGTGGCTGTGTGCCTTTTCTGCTCTTTTCACCTGGGCTCACTTATGTGGCTGTATTGAACTGGGGACCAACGTGGCCTTGTTCATGTTCTGGCAGATGGTCCTGGCTGTGGGCTGCACTGCCTCATGTTTCTCCACGCAGCCTCCCCTCCTAGTGGGCTAGACTGGGTTCCTTACATGGTGTTCAGCATTTCAAGAGGGAGGAAGCCCCGAGGCTTCTTGAGGGCTGGGCTCTAGAACTCTTCTGCCACATTCGATTGATGAAAACAAGACGCAGGGCCAGCCCAGAGTCAAGGCAGAGGAGCAGGGTCTCCCCCGGGAGGAGAGTTGTTGCACTATATTGTGGCCATATTTTTTAGTTGACCACATCACTCAGTCCTTGCTATGGCATCTCTGCTATTGTTCACCTTGAATAAGATTAGTGAAGGGGTCCTTATTTCTTCCTGGGGCAACCTGCTTCATACAGACCACCCAGAGCCTTCTCCTTTTAGATGAATCCCCTCTGGTTCAAAATAAGCATCAGGGTCCCATGCTTTTTTAGGCGGTATGGGGGAAACAAAACATTTATTGGGACGAGTAAAAGGAAATTCACATTTAGGACACATGGATGGAATAATTTTTTGTCTAAGTTCTGTTTGAGCTAGGTGTGCCTTTTGTGGGAAACAACCTCATTCTGAAGGGCTAAACTGGGCCAGTGCGGGGCTGAGGGAAATAAAACTGATGAGCTGACTGGGGCTGTACCTGGCTTGGTCTTGAAAGGAGAAGGATAAAGGGGGCCCTTGAGGATTCTAAGTTGTTCAGCTTAGTTCACTAGAGCAAGGCAACAGATCAATTAGTTGGGGAGAAAGTCCTAGTCAGGAACAAAGTGTACCCCGGGCTATATATATATCTCAGGAAATTAAGTGTTGTCATAAGTAGTTCTGTGGCATGAAGATGCAGGAGAGGCAAGAGGATGCCGACATGATTTTGGTTTAGTGCCTCGTTACTCCTAGTGTGTACGCTGGGCCACCAGGAGAATCTTGGGCCCACCCCAAAACTACTGAATCAGAATCTGCATTTTAGCAAGATCACCAACGAACACATATGCTCATTAAAGTTTGAGAAGCCTTGGCCTAGGGAGCCTTCCTGATACCATTAAATCCTATCCCATGGGAGGCCCCACGTAAAGCTGGTCTCGCTTCCAAAAAGGAACTATGCTGGGTACTACCCACGGCTTTCTGGGAATAGAGAGGGTCCAGTCTCACAATCTATGGCCCTCTTCTCTAACCCATTGAAACTCTACTGGAAGCCACGAACCCTCTCCCCAGAATGGACATGGATATGCACCTGGAATTTCATCACATTTCATGACACCTCTGAAGCCTTGGTCTGGGGAGCCAAGGTCAAGAGCTCATGCTCTGCAGCCCGTCAGGACAGGTAGTTATTGAGAGCACGTCCTGATCTGGTTTGAGTACCACTGGCAGAAGGGATGGAGCCATGCAGGGATAGGTCATGCAGAGTTCTCACCAAGGAGGAAGGTGACTAACTCGAAAAGCAAAGGACAGGCGCCAAGTGTTTACAGAGCTCAAGAAACTGTGTTTATAACACATAGTTTGCCAAGGAGGTGATAGTGAACAGATGTGTCATTTGCAATTATTCCTAAAGATGTTAATTATGCAAATGGAATCTCTGATTAGGGTTCTAAAAAAAGAACCCCATATATTATGGGGTGTTAGATGTGCACAATCAAGCATGCTTGCTGACTGTGCCTCCAGGTAATCACCCTTGGTGCCAGACTCATCACCTGGGGCGCATGTTTTAAATGTACCACCCTGAGAGCCAGAGAGGGGTTCTGGAAGCACTTTCCACCTGCAGAAGGTGAAAACTGGAAGTGATTTTTGTGATCATGGAGTACAGCTCTGTCCTTGTAAAGAGGCAGAAACTGAGGCTCAGAGAAATTATGTGACTTGTCACTAGTAGAGGGAGGATAAGAGCTCCTGTCTTTTACGTCATCAATTTGCTTTTCCTTGCCTTATTGCGTCAACAAGGACATACGTCAATGATCAATTTTCGCATGAGTCTACTCTGTGAAGTGAGGGCCAAGGGAATGATGTGAACAAAATATCTCCTTAATCCACTCAAGGT